CCTCTACGCCACCGGCCTGAGCATCAATCGCGCCTTCCATCTTCAGTTCTGATTCTCGAAGCGGAGAGAAAACTGAAAATCTCGCGCTCTGCCAAAATTACAGTTGGCCTGTCAGGAAACATGAAGAACGAAATAGGAACGCTTGTCGGGAAATTTCCAGACCTACGTCATGCGCCTCCTTAGCATGGATGACGTCAGCAGCCCTGTTGGGCGTTCAGGTGCGCCAGCAAGGGTGGTGTTGGCGTGCGTGGGCGCAGGCTGGCATTTCGAGGGTGTGATTCGCCAATTAGCCGACAAGAACAAACCCGCGTAGCGTAATCATCACATAATGGACTCCCGCTACTCCTTCTCGCTCACCACCTTCAGCCCTTCTGGCAAGCTAGTGCAGATCGAATACGCGCTCAACGCCGTGAACGCTGGTGCCACCGCTCTTGGTATCAAAGGTATAATGCCGCACTGCACTTCAGATCAATCTCCATCTTATCGGTCTACCCACCTCTACAATACTGTTGCACCTGTTGGATCGAGTGCAAGGCATTAATCGATGATCTATCCACCCCCCCCCAAGCCAAGGATGGCGTGGTGATGGCCACCGAGAAGAAGCTGCCTCCTCTCATGGATGACACTTCGATCCAGAAGATTAGCCTCCTCACGGACAACATCGGCGTCGTCTACGCTGGAATGGGACCTGATTCGCGTGTGCTCGTGCGCAAGGGACGCAAGATTGCCCAGCAGTACTTCAGGACCTATCACGCTCCCATCCCTGTGAATCAGCTCGTGCGAGAGCTCGCTGCTATCATGCAGGAGTTCACTCAATCTGGGTATGTTCCCCGTCTGTGCTCCTCATCTACGATATTCGAGCCTGTAGCGCATACGCGTGCCATGCCTTCTAGTCGTGCACGTGGTCGCTCACTTTGTTCTCTTGCTGCCATGCAGTGGTGTGCGACCCTTCGGTGTCTCCCTCCTTATCGCCGGCTATGACGAAGTTGCTGGTGCTCAGCTGTACCAGGTGGATCCTTCGGGTTCGTATTGGGCGTGGAAGGCCTCGGCCATCGGCAAGGGCATGGTCAACGCCAGGACCTTCTTGGAGAAGCGGTATGCGTCCCGTTGTGCGTGCATGCGTGCGTGCATGCGCGTGGTGTGTTGGTGTGTCACAGTGGGGGTTCTTGTTGCGTCGATGCTCATCTATGTGGTCTTGCGCATCAACAGCTACAAGGAAGATGTGGGTCTCGAAGATGCCGTCCACACGGCCATACTGACGCTCAAGGAGGGATTCGAGGGTGAGATGACGGAGAACAACATCGAGCTGAGCGTGGTGCAGGTGATCGAAGGCAAGCCCGTCTTCAGAGTGCTCACGCCCGCCGAAGTCAAGGACTACCTCGGCGAAGTACAGTAAACACACATAACGACCATGCTCCCTCTTCTTCATCTCTTCTTCGCCTCCTTCTCCTTCTCCTTTCATGATCGATCATGCTGTCATGGTGTTCTACCCTTGTGAATAAGGAACAAGCCATTCCCACCACAACTATCCATGTTCTTCTTCATCGTCTTCTCTTCTCTCAGTCTGAGAACCTTCTTCCTGTTTGGAAAAGATGAGAACTTTTCGCGCACGACACGCAACCAACAGCCGCACACAACACACGACCAAAGCCAAAAAGAAAAGATGGAGCGACTTGGCGAGGCAGCTGCGCCACGACGAGGAGTGGTGTTGGAGGTGAAGGACATCTCTGCGTCGAAGGATGAGAAAGAGGATGAAGAGGAGGAGGTGGACACGGTGGTGGAGGAGCTCAGAGGGCTGTCGCACCTCCGCATCAAGCCGCGGGTGGTCATCTCCGACGCCAAGCACAAGAAGACCACCGGTAGCATAGCGCAAGTGGCGACCGTCGCGCCCGCAGCCGCCAGCAGCGGCATCATCGAGCGTGGCCGTCTCTGCTCAGTGTACGCGATGCACTCTTAATCTCAATCTTTTCAATTTTTAATTCTGATTATTATTTTAATTAATACTTAGGATTGTTTGATAAAGATATAAAACCACATATTTATTTATTTCAAATTTATTTGGTCTGCAGATGTGCCACCAAGTTCGGGCGCTACACGTGCCCGCGATGCAATGCCGCATCTTGCTCGCTTCCCTGCTACAAGGTATCTGCCCACCACAGTTGGGCTGGCGTTGATGTGCCACGCCGAGACGAGGTTGTGCTGATGCTCATGATCGATCCCATCCTCCTCTCGGCGTGTCGCAGGCTCACAGCACCAAGTGCACGGAGGCCTTCTACAAGGACAGCGTTGAAGAGGAGCTCCGATCGCAGCGAGCCGACGAAGAGAGCCAAAAGCGCATGCTGCAGCTCCTCAAGCACATGAAGGACCAGGAGGACGAGGTCAACACACACGACACACACGACACACACGACACACACCACACCACACACAAACGCAGTACTCCCCTTCCGTCAGCGTTGCCGCTTCTTCTCACATCTCGTGCTCCGTTTACAGGAGGAAGAAGACGAACACGAAGAAGAGGCCTACTACCGACTTGCACAGCTCAGCACAGGTGCGCGCGTGTCGTGTGTGCCGTGTGTGTCGTGTGTCGTGTGTCGTGTGTGTCAATCGCTGGTCTCGATATTCACCGCATGTTTCCGCGCACAGAGGAGAATCTGTCGCTGGAGCACCTGACGCCCGAGCAAAGGGAGGACTTCAAGCGGTCGCTGGTCGACGGCCGCATCAGCGACATGATCACCCCCTGGCAGCCGTGGTGGCTCCAACCCGCATCAGGTACCCACCTACCAGGCCGACTCACCATTTTTCTTTTCTTTCTTTTCGTCTTTTCGGCCCGCAGCTGACCCGAGGCATGTCGCCCAAAGGTCTGATCGTGCCGGTGGAAACGAAGAGAGAAGACGAAAACGAAAACGAAAGCGAAAGCGAAGACGAAGTGGAGGTGGAAGAACGGAAACCGCCACCTGTCCTGCCCGACATACCGCCGCTCTCCACACTACTCAGCAAAGAACCGTCGCCACTGCTGGCGTTCAACCTTCTCGACATTCTGTACGGACGAACCACGACCGCACATACGCGCACACCAAACGAAGGCGGTAACTCACCTTCCGCTCTTCCACTCCTCTGCAGGTTCTCCTATGCGTACGTCATGCGGTACTTCAACGGCGAACCCGATAGCGAGGCCAGCGATGCCTCCTCCTTCCTCGTCGAGATATCGGCCGTCCTCCAGGTTCTGTCTCGCTTTACCACACACACACACACGCACACACACGACACACACACACACGACACACACACGACACACACATACACAACCCTACTGACCGGTCGCCCTGCAGTCGAATGCCGTCCACCAGTCTCCCGACGCCGCCTTCGATGCCTGCCTAGCCAACATTCTCAAGGTGCGGCACAGCACGCCACGCACCGCCCAGACCCCGCGTTAGGCCCACCGCTCACTTTCTTTCTTTCTTTCTTTCGTTCGTTCAGCCTTCGGTGTCGGGGTCGTCCGACTTTGGGCTGGCCGTGGTGGACGACGTCCGACAGATCGTCGCACAGAAGCACTTCACGCTGATGGCCCTCTCCGACCTCCACGCGCTGCTGGGCCGTGCGGCCGCCGACCAAATCGCGGCCGCGACGAAAGAGGTCAAGCGGCTGCGGGCCAAGCTGGCGGCGCTGCAGAAGAAAGTGTACTTCTTCGTGGCGTGGGCCAACGCCCAGGACGAGCCGCTGTTCCGCGCCACTGCTGCGCTGGTCGAGGCCTACCTCCGCGAGCAGCGCGCCAAGCGACCCGACACCACGACCGCGCCCAGTAGCAGTACCGGTAGCCTGCGACTCCCAACTACGCTCAGCTGATTCTCAACCATTTTAATGCAATTGTGAGCGCATTCCATTGCTTTTCTTCGTTCCTCTCCCTTGTTGCTGTTGCTGTTGTGGTGGTGGTGGTGGCTTGGCGTGGTGGTGGGCGGTGGTGGCAGTGGCGGGTGGCGGGGGCATGCCGTGGGCGATCAGTAGTTCCTGCACGTGCGGCGTGAGGTTCCACTTCCGCTCCCTGGGCGCCGATCCTTTCTTCACCGCGGCCTGGCACCACCGCACATACGACACACGACACACGGACGTCAGAAGTGTGTGTGTGTCGTGCGTGTCGTGAGTGTCGTGTGCGCACCGGTAACTCGGCGCCGTAGGCGAACAGCCGGCCGAGCACGTCCCGAATGAACCGGGCCCGGTTGTTGTAGCGGCAATTGCCTTCGAGCAGCGCGTCGAGCAGGGCGCCCCAGAGCTGGCCGCGCACCATGCCGGGCTGCCTGGCCAGCAGCAGCTTCACCACCTCCAGCTTCCGCTCGTACGACGTGTAGCGCGATTCGCCCACCAGCTCCGTCAGATACCCCGCCTGCCCGCAGAGTGAGTTCTTTCGTGTGCCGTGTGTGTGGCGTGTGTAGCGTGCGTCGTGTGTCGTGGCGTGTGTCGTGGCGTGTGTGTGTGTGTCGTGTGTGGTGTGTGTGTGAACGTACTCTAAATAACGGCG